GGGGGGGGGGGGGGGGATCAAACAGAGAGGAAGAGACAGGTTAAGGCAGACAAGCAGAAAAGTTATGCTGGGAAAATACTTGAGGGGTTTTAAAATCTGAAGCAATACTTAAAACACGTTGCATCAAACACTAAGATTGTTTCTCACTTGTCAATTTGCTCCCAATACACACAACTGCTGCTGACTCCAGATGCTTCACTGATTTCAGTATTTACAATCTTACAACTCAGCACAGCAGTAAAGAAAAATGGGAACATTCAGACAAGCGGAGGTTGCTTTGCTTCTCCTTTATATTGATGATTTTCATTCTTTGAATGAGACTGTGATCCCTGTTCCTTACAGGTGTTGGAACCTTTGCAGCAGCCATATTTACATGTCATAGCTGGAAAATTACAAATGTGGCTGCATCCCATGTAGTTTTTCCAGTTACAGGGTCCTTGTATTGCACATGTTGGCTCACTGGCATCGTTAGTGGTATGAATAACACCTGTGCTTCTTATGCTATCACAAAGTATCTGCAGTAAAAAAGGTCTTTTAGCAAAATCCTGATTCTGATTAAGTCTACATTTTTTATTTCCCTGCTTTCAATCCTAATTATTCTTAATGAATCTGAAACAAGGTTAGTTGATGTTTTCTAATTTATTATTAATTTAATTTAAATTTAAGAATTGTATATTTTTTAAATGAAACCTATTTAAAGGAGCACTGCTCCTATACATGGACTTCAGTTTTCTTGACAAAGTACTGCACTGCCTGTGAAAACAAGTGTAGGTCTTGTGAAGCTCTAAATTGGATCTTTCCAAAGTCAAAAATGTGCCCAAATGTTGAATTGGGCTTAGAGACTACAAATTTTTAACATTGATTGATCCATACTAGGGACTACAATTGAGCAATATCTACCATAGCAGATGAAAAAAAAGAGAACCAAGTACAGATAATCAATCACCAGAAAACCAAAGGGAACTAATTCTTGAAATGCACCTTGCTCTCAAATGCTCTTGAAAAAAACTTGTCTGTTTTCTTAAACAATCATATACTTTAACTAAACTATTTCAGGTCATTTCAATAAACATGCCAACAGCATGATCCCTCCCATTAGGTTCGCCTGAATGCACTCCTCTCTATTCAAAGCAGCTGTCTCTCAGGGGCCTTGTTTGATTGATTAAAACTAGACTTTGTAGCCATCAAACACGAGTACTCTAATACATTCTGCTTGCTTGCACGTTTGCTCCCCTCAAAGAGTTGTTAAGGGGAAGCCAGAGGACAGAGGAGGACAAGACGATAGATAGATAGATAGAT